TTACAAGCATTGTTCAACCAACCACATTTTTTGGATACAAAGATATATAATGGATTTCCGTTTTCATCATTTTTATCAAAAGTCCTTACTCTAGCTTAATTTGCTAAACAAATTGATTTTTTCTTAAATTCACTACAGTTTGAATTACTAGTACAAATAGGTTACCATGAACAATTATTAGTACCTTCACAACTTTATTATTTGACAGTCAAATCACAAGAAGTTTATGAAACACATCCAGATCCAGTAGTAACACAATTTGTGAAAAAATTGGCACAAAGAGAATTAGTATTTAAATTGGTTGCTGCTTAAGTACAATCTCTAGCAACACATTTGGTTCCAGTCTTCCATGTACATTTACCTTCAGATCCAACTCTTGATTAACAACTAGTAGCATCACCATCATAAGTAGTACAAGATTTCAAATTAGCTTTTGTAACACATCCTTTTCCTGTAGTAACACATCCAATTTAATATTTATTACAAGCATCATCAGTTGTTGTTGTATCTGGAGCTTCATCGCAAATCTTTGGTAAGCAAGAAGCTTCAGTAGTTGTACTTGTTCCTTTGCAATATCCATCAGTACCAATATATACAGCACAAGTGGTAGCCGTACCTTTATATGTATTACAAGCTGATAATGATGAAACGCAAGTTTTACCATTTGTCTTACAAGTACTTTAGTATTAATAACAAAGTTCATCAGTATTGAATGTGCCATTTTCACATTTTCTTGCTCTGCACTTAGAACCACCAGCATCACCTTCACAAACTCCATCTGATCCAATATATCCAACACAAGTAGTGTTATCTCCTGAATATGTGGAACACAATGGTTTTGTTGTTGCTAAAACACAACCTTTTCCTGTTGTTATACATCCTTTTTAATATGCTTTACAATCATCATCAGAACTAAATGATGTTGGAGCATTAACACATTCTTTGGCCTTACAATTTGTTGTACCAGTTGCTAATTCACAATTTCCATCTGATCCAATAAAAGATTAACAAGCAGCATCATCTCCTGTATAAATAGCACATTCAGGTCTTGGTGCATTAACACAACCTTATCCTTTTGTTACACAACCAGCTAACCAAGCTGAACATTTTTCATCGGTATTTAAACTAGTATCTGCTTCTGAACATGCATAATCTCTACAAGCTCCAGAATTTGTATCCCATTTACATTTAAGTATACCAGAAACACTTGGAGTTGATTCACATTGTTGTTATGTATATTCTTTGCATTCTTTAGCTTGAATACACGCATTTCCATCACTGACACAAAAATAAGATATAGCCTAACAATCTGTTATTGTAGTTTTAACATATGCTTGACATCCTGTAAAATGGGTGCATTTTAAGTCAACATAAGCACAACCTAATGTTTTAGCACAGTTTGTTTCTGGTTTATCAATAAGTTCGCAATAAGGTTTAAATGAACTGACTGGATCAACTGTTGTCTTTTTCTAACATTTTGCTGCTGTTGTTCCTGATGCAGCCAACCATTCACAATTTCCTGTTACAGTTATCTCTTTTTCACAATCATTCTGTGATTTTAATTATCCACAATCATTACATTTATTTGAGTGTTAAACTTGCTATGTTAAGACCATAGCTAATAAGCAAATCAGAATTAAATTTTTCATTAAAATTATTAATAAAATAGATTTTATTAATATGATATTTAAATAGATCAAAAATTAATTTTTTTTAATTTATTAAATATGCAATATTTTGTTTTTTGATTTCAGATCAAAATTTATTTGATGATTCAATTAACATCATTATTATTTTTATTGTACAGAATTTTTCACAGACACTTCTCATTTTTGCTTCAAAAATGGTTAGGAATGATAAATTTCAGGCAATAGCCATCTCTGAGGATTAATTTATGATAATTTAAAATTTAAATAAAATTTAAGCTTTTTGGATTTCCAATGTTATTCTCTATTCATAATTGTTTGCTTAGTAAATTGTTGATTATGTGATTCTGGGTCTAAAGACATAGAATAGATGTATCTACTAATGCTTAAAAAAATAAAAAATTATGGTTCAAGTATGTTGTATATATAATCTAAGAAAAGAAGAGGCAAATAAATTCTCACTAGGTATTTTCTTAATTGTTTGCTCTTTGTATAATGGTTTTAAGAGTATCAACGCGAAGGATGAAAAAAATCGGGTAAATCCAGACTTTGTTCAAAATGTATACATTATAAAATAATAGAAGATTTTTATAAGAATATTCACAAAGATTCACAGTAGCAGAAATGATTTATCGTCAGATGAAGATGCATATAGTAGTTCATGATGTATTCTAAATTTGATTCTAATTGCAAAAACCAAAAAATAAAATTGAATAAATAAACCAATAAATATCTGTTGAACAAGGAATACAATTTGTAAAGTAATAAGAGTTCAATAAATCATCCAATATATGTTATTTATCTTTATTTGACCAAAAAAAAGAATTAATCAGATATAAAATTAATCATTTTTAAATTAATTATCAACATTTCCAGAATATGCTTAGATTGTTGTTAGAAATAAAAAAAATAAAAAATTCTACTGATATCACTTCCAAAAGTATTTGTAATTTAAAGTGCAAAAATTCAATCATTATGTTCCAAGGATAAAATAAATAAAATGATTAATTCAACATATCATTATATAATGTTTAAAAATTCAAAACCTATAAATCTTTAAATTACGAGATATATTCTTGATGATTTTATAATATTGGTCTAATTTGTTACTATATCATTTATTATAACTAATTTAATATTTAATTAATCCACATTCTGGTGAAAAATAAGAATTCTTAATAAAAGAGAGAATAAATAGGAAGATTTAAGAACATTTAATAAGCTAATTATTTAAGATATGATTAAATAAAAGTGGATTTATATTGATATGATATAAATACAAAAATTAACTTACTTAATATTATAATAATTATCATTTTCTTTATAATATTATAAAAATTTTCTTCTTTTTATTCAATTGGTAGGAAGTTTGACTATTTCTTCAACTTTTCACTCTTTATTTAAGGCCAAAAATATCACGCTCTCATCATTTTTATTGATCAAAAATCATTTTTTTTAACTCTAACCCAAGACTTTATCCATAAATGATTTCATAATTTTATTTAATATACACATTTATATCAATTTTTAAATAATAAATACTTCTATAATTGCCAATCAAAAGAGAGCAATAGGATGTTTTTGGTCATCCTATTATTTTTTTAATTCTGTTCTTCATATATATGGCTGGTTAATTTAGCATAATTCTTAAACTATGTCTAATATTTATTCTTTTGATAAATTTTACCATTGAAATATCATTTTGCTTAAAATTTAATCAACATAAATTCATTTTAGATCTAAATAATGCTTATTTTCTACAGGGATCAATCAAAGGATACATGAATGCATCTCGTTGGATATTTCATATATTTATTAATAAATCCTTCTTTTTTTCATCTGTTGTGAATTCAGTCTAGTTTCTCTTTTAGGATATATAACATTTATTTCCGAATAGAATACTTATAAATGCTTTAGATTTTAATGAGGGGAAAAATCCAAAAAGTATAAACAAGCTAAACTTTTAGAACTCATCGTTTATCAATCTAAATCTAGTAGTGTAATCCTCTATTATTGATTATCATCACAAAAATAGATTTATATCTAATTAAAAAATATCATTTTACTTATTATTTTTTCAGCTTCCACAATATATTCTTTTTAGAATACATTAGAAATATTATGAATCTTTTGTAAAAATATTATTGCATTTTTACAATATTTTTGGCTCTTTTGAGGCTAAGTAATAATTTTCAATATTCTTTTATATATATATAAGCATTTTGTTTTTAATTAACAGAACTTAATATTTTCTGAATATCATTTTCTTTTTGAAAATGAGCTGTATTTATAAGTAAATCTTCGATCTTTCAATTTAAAGTTTACATCTCATTAAATCTTAAACATTATACTCTATTTAATTAATTAAAATAGTAATTTTTGAGTTATTATAAATGATAAATCAATTTTTTTATGGATTATTAGTTAGTTTGTAATTACATTTTTCTATCTTCATTAAGACTTTCTTTAATTTCCTAATTTTTTTGGGTTTAAATAGAATTATAATAAAACAATAAAGATCATCTAAGAATAATTAATAAATTTTTTGTCAATCAATTTAATAATTATATCATCTAGCTTAGAGGTAAAGTATTTCCCTGCTAAGGAAAAGTTCCGAGTTCAAGTCTTCGGGGTGGTATTTTTATTTTTACTTTTAAAATTAATTTATTAATCATAAGAATTTTTCTATTTAAAATTTATTACTCACTATCAGACATTCTCAAACTTTATTCTTCCTACTCATTAATTCGAACAGATCTAATTCACTAAATTATTCTATTATTTAAATATGATTTTTTGGGCATTTTTGTTTTCAAATAAACTAATAGTTAAACCAAAACCCCGTTTGTTTTAATGGCAAAGTCAAAATATTAATTAAGTTCTAAGAAATTTCAATAAGCCATTAAAATCAATCAAAGTATGTTTTGAACTGCTAGAATAAAATTAATGATTATATTGAATATTAGGCTTTTGATATCAAATTATTAGTGATTAATAGGAAGCTTTTAAGGATTATAATCACGTAATTCAATTTAAAACAACGTTAATAATTGTAAATATTGAAACTAATCTTAAGCTTATTAAAATTTATCATCCATGAATTTGACAAAGGATTAAAATGATTTATTAATAAAGTAAAGAAAATTAAGAAATTCATTCTGGATTTTTAGTTCGATATTTGGATTAATTTAATTGTGTTTTGTAAAAATACTTCTAGAATATTAAATTCTTTGATTGAATATGCAATTATAAAAAATAAAATAGAATAAATTTAGTTAAAGAAAACTATAAATCAAATTTAAAATGCATTTTTAAGAATGGTGATTTACCATTCTAATTTCAATTTTTTAAAAGTAAAAATAGCAGAGTTAAACCAAATTATAACTAAAGCTTAAAAGATTAACAATAAAGATAAAGTCTTAATGTTCTGCTGAATTGTTTATTATTTATATTATCGATTAATACTTAAGAAATCAAAATAAATATAAAAAATTGATTAAATTAGTAAATTGAGTGTGTGTTTAAAAAAAGAAGCTAAAGTAAATAATTGCTATCTACAAATTTTGTTTTAAATGATATACCTAATATTCTTTCAAAGCTCCTGTAAGATGAAAGAGAAATATGCTCTTATATTTGTGATACCTTATATTGTGATACATTATATTGCACAAGATCCCTCATCCTTCCATAACTAGCTTTCCTCATTTTGGAGGAAACAAAAAAATTTACTGAAGGGTTACTTCATCTTTTAAATTCTTAAAAAATCTAATTATTTCAAGAATATAATATAAAAAAATTAGATTCTTCATTTTATAAATTGGATAAAAATATATATCGTTTTGTAACATGTTATTAAACTTACTCAATAGATTTGTTATGCCATATTTTTAGAGTTTACTTTCTTTTTATTCTATCACTTTTGAGTTTGAGTAAAAAATAGAATCATTAATAAGTTGCTATTTATTTGGAAGTCTTTCTCAACCACAATTAATTAAATTAACAACTTATATTGAAACTATAAATCAACTTGAGCTTTTGATATAGTTGTTTTATGAAATTAAAGTAAGGCTGAGGAGTTTATAATCCCTAAATCATAATTGACTTTTCCAATGTGAAATTCATCACATCACACATAGTAGAATAATTAGGATACTATAATTAATTAATCCAATAAATGAATTGTTTCCTTTATTTTAATGCCAATAATTAAAAATATAAGTATATATTGATAGCATTTATTCTATTAAAAATGATTAAATTTGCTTTTTCATTTGATAAAAATCAAATAAAAATTTGGAATATATTCATGTTACTATTTGATACTTATTTATTGATTTTTTAATTATTCTTATTTTCTATGTCTATAAATTATATTATTTTTACTTTAAATTGTTAATCAGAACTCAATTATTTTATAATGAAATGTTTTTAGGAGTATTTCAACTATTAGAATTTCAATAATTCAATTAAATTTGATAGTCTAAAACAATTTGTTTTCATAATTAAAAAATTAAATTAGTATCTTGGTTGTTTATATAATACTATTTGGCTTTTAAAAAACATAACAATTAATAAATATTAATTTGTTCCAAATTTAGATTTTCTGTTATCTAGATTGATATCTTTAATTTTTCGACAAAAAAATATAAAAATCTTTCAAGAAGTAAAATTTTTGGAACTTTATTAGAAAACTGCAGAAAAGTAGAGAAAATTATTGAATATTAACCAAATATAAATCTCTATTGAACTTTTTATATTCAAGGAAATAACTATAATTCGTATATCTTAAATGCTAAAAATTTAATATTTTGAAATATAGTATGAATACCAATTATGCATTCCCAAAAAAATGATAGGGTTACTTTAACAAATAAATTGCTTTGTTTACATAATCTCAAAATTTTTTTTTATACACTATAATTTTAATTTAAAAGAGCAGCGTACATTAAAGCTGTAATATAGTAGATATGATATGAAAGAGTACTTATAGGGCATTCATATAA